TCTTTATCTCTACATTCATGTTAATATATATGGATTTTCGTTTAAAAAAATTGTTTACCCATCAGCTGTCTGAAGTAAACAATAGCCAAAACTAATTGAATAGGAAAATTAGCATGAAGTTATTTCTTTTTTGTTTCTTCGTCTCTCGTACAACAAATACTTTTTTTTTAGAGAATTTACTCACTCCCTTTTACGATTTCCTTCCTCAATTTGCAATCATTTGAATATCGTGGATTTATTTTTAATAATAAATCAAGACACGCAAATGGACAAAATCATAATAATTGATTCATTACATTAGCTGAAACCACGAGAACAAAGCAAACATGTTAATAAAAGATGAAGTATTCTAAAAAAACTAAAGCTCAGTGTTTAACGTTATGAAGCTCCGCCTCTCTAAATGAAGTAAATCTAGATTGAAATGAGAAGTCCTGATTGTGTGACCAGTGTGAATACGACCAAGCGACAGCAACGAGGCACGAACTCCCATGACAGGCTGACAAAACCTTTGGCGACTGAAGTGGCTTAATGATAACGTGTTGGCCACGGAACCTTTAGGTCCTGAGTTCGACCTCTGGTGAGGTCATAGGTGCGCACTACTGAAGAGTCCCATAGTAGGACGAAAGAGCCATCCAGTGCTCCCAGGTTCTCAATTCTCTTCCAATAATCTCAGTCTGTGAATACCAACCTGAAATATAAACCTCGTCAATGTTCGGGTCTCTTTAATATAGGTCTCGAAGCTCAGCTGATAAAGTAGTGGACTGGAAATCTATTGGTCACCGGTTTGAATCCAACCGCCGCCTAGATTTCCATCTCAACTTCATGCATCACCCAGTATCAATACAAATCTGCCAAGCCACGGTGATATCAGATAGTCAAACTAGTATATATATATATATATATATATATATATATATATATATATATATATATATCAAAAGTAGAGACTAACTAAATTCGTTTCGAAAAATGACTACTACACAAGAATTGACAAGAAACCAAATCGCTGTTTTATCAAAGACTAAGAAAAGTAACTTTTATAAGCAATTCTCAGTGCACAAACTTTATACTTTCTTAATTGTTTATCATTGACGTTGCAAGAATTTTTCAAACTGGTCCAAGAATAAAATCGTCAATAAAGTCCACATTTCAGTTGTCAAGTGAAGACAGGAGAAAGACATGGTTGTTAACTATCACCGATCACCTTCCGGATTGTGGTCGACTGCACTGGATCATGAAACAAACTGTGAGAAGCGAGAAGAGGGGCATAGGCTGTTTGACCAATGGAAAGACACTAGAAGACTTGGATTTCGCCAACGATGATGATTGATGTCGAATGTCTTGTGGCATAAACTCGAAGATCTACATCAGAAAACCAAGAAGTTGACAGAAGAGACGAGGTGAGGCAGCGAAGGAAGACGGGGCTTCAGATAAACGTAGAGAAGACACAGGTGATGAAGATACCCAACCACCATCACCAACAACAAGCACCAATCATCATCAAAGGGATAAATCTGAAGGAAGTTGTCTCTTTCACCTACCTACCTACCTACCTAACTACCTATTCAGCATCGTTTCAAATACACCTGGTGGCACTGGCACAGATGAGGGTGTCAAAGCAGCCAGGATTGGAAAGACGCCAAGATAGACCCTCCTGCATTAATCTGAAATCAGTGTGGAGATCTACTCCACTCCACTCAGCATAAATCGTGAACAACATCCGGATTTTCAGCAGTAATCTCAGTCAAGTCAGTCAGTGCTTCCATGTAGTGGTTGAGAGACTTGGCGCGTCACGTAAAGCATTTCCAACAAACTACAGATATACATGAACAGCTGCGGCCCACGCTCGCTCACTCGACACTGAAGATGGAGATCAGATGGTGAGAATAAGAAGAATAAGCAACAAGGAATTCTGGCTGGCTGGCTCGCCTCGGACGCCCAACTCGTCCTCTCCCATCTGGGTTACACTCAACGCCCTGGCCTCACGCGTGATGTCCCCTGTTGGCCTTCTCAGTGTATGCCTAATCCATCTCCACTTCCTTCCAGTGCATATTTGTTCAGCGATAGCTTCTTGGTTGGTTCGTTGACAGCCACAGTTCCTTGTTGCTTATTCTTTCTGGCAATCCATCTGATCTTCAGTAACGAGCGTGGACAGTTGTTGATGAATGTCTGTAGTTTATTGGAAATCCCTTTCGTAGCGTTCCAAGTCCCTGAACCATACAGAAGCACTGATTTGACGTTGGTGTTGAGAATCCGGATGTTGTTCCACATGCTGAGTGGAGTGGAGGAGATCTCCACACTAATTTCAGGTTAATGAACGCCTGTCTTGCTTTTCCGATTCTGGCTGACTTTGACATCCTCTTCTGTGTCTGTGCTGCCTGTAGTCGAAACAGTGCTGTAGATGTACAGATTAATGAATTGACAGTCCACCAGTTTATATGAACGGTAATGGCTTTCTTATCTAATTTAACTGAAGCTAACAGTTTATAATGGTTAGCAGTACCTCAGCAACTATGTACTCTTTTTTAATAATGGATTTAACCTGTATTCTGTTATTCAAGTAAGTAGGCTCCGAGTGCATCATTCACCAGTTTCAGGGACACAATGTTGTAGAAAATAATAGGAAAGCTTTTCCAATAAAAAGAAGAAAGTTTTAATGAATTGGTATTTTTGAAAGAATAAGTAATTAACTTTACACTAATAAGTCGAGTAATGAGAAAATAAAGACATGTGTTGTTTGCTACTTTTAATCTCCTTCGATTTGAGATTCGTCAACTGGATGTTTATACACTCCAATGAGTAATGTTGTTCTCAATGAGACTCGAACTCAGATGTGATCGTTTCAAACACCAATATACAAACTACTAAAAGTTTAGCATAGATTCTGATGGTTTATTCAGTCTGATAATTTATACTAATTTTCTTTCATTATCCTAGTAGAATGTCATTTTTTTCTGTATAAATGCTAATTGTCTACCTTGTACCATTCACATATTCTGACTCAGTCAATTCATTCATTCTTATTTGGATACTGAAGGCTATTCATCATTTGATTTCACTAAAGATAAATAGTAAAGTCAATTAATTGACTACTTGAACTGCTTCTAATATCCTTAAGGGCAAATTATACACTTTGAGTATGCTTGTTTTTATTGACAAAAACAAAAAGAAAAATTAAGAGGAACAAATAAATGTGTCATTTAATTGGTGACTTGTTTTAATACATTGTATATATAAAGATGATCTGAATCCATTAAGAGTTTGACAGTTTGACCTTTCAGTATATACATAACATCGTACTCTTTACTGTGCTGAGTACAAAGGGCATATCTAGTTTAGCTACCTATCTACTTTCCTACTTAGTCAAATAATCAGAAATGAGTACTATATATTCAACTTAAAAAAGAGTCTTGTTAAAAGGTAAAGCATAAAAAAAGGAGTAAAAGAAAAAAGAACACAAGATTAAATGACAAAGGAAAAGTTAGAAAGATAAACTTTAACAGAACTTAACACACTCCATTCTTATTCATTAACTTATGATAATTATTTTCATTAATTTAGATAACTTGTTGACAAATAGCTCCATGTTTAGAATTTATTTAAGACGAATAGTATAAACATTAGAGCAAAAACAAAATAGAGTATTCTTTAAAACAAATCGTGCTATGCGTTGTAAAGACTTTTTAGCTTGATGTTTAAAGATGTCAAATAAGCTTTTAGATGATGCAATTCCAAACTGACAGCAATAGCTACGCTACACCCCCCCCCCCCGTTTTTTTAGTCTTATCCTGAGTTTCAAACACTTTATCCCATCATCTTCCCTGGAATCCTTCCTTTTTTGTTCCATGCAACAGTAATTGACTTTTTGTTTTTAGGATACATCCATCTGACGAGTCCTAAGTGGGATGAAACTTGCATTCTGGATTCTATCACTAATAATATCAAAATTGGTTTCATTGGTGAAATCTGTGAATTGTTATCATGTGAGAATCAAATCATTTGACTTAAGTCATGATGAATAGTGTTTATGATAACTACGAAGTTGCAGTGCCTAAATCAGCTACCTAATCACCAACCGAACAGCCATTTTATTGATATCTGGTTAAATGACTTTACAATATGCATAAAGTAATATTGAATTTCTGGATCTTTCAAACTGCCTGAGGTGTACATCCTTCTATCCAGCTAAGGAACAATTTCTTATTAACGTTCACTTTATTTGTCATGTTAATATATCAAAATCATGGTTAAGATTTCACTTTATTGTTGCTCAAAATCACTTGTTGCTTTTCAATCAAAACTCAATTAGGAAGACGAGATTCTGACAATAAGTATGAATGCTAATGGGTAGCCAAACGCACCGACTATTAAGCACATAGCACTCAACCTGAACTATAATCAGCATCTCATTACATGTCAAACTTTTGTATTGGAACCTCATTTCATCGCCATCACTATTTTCTTAACAGCTAGTGCATAAACAAGAAACTAGGGGTCAGACAGTACTAGGAACTTGGATTTAATGCAACAATAACTAGAATATTACTATTTATTGATATACTTGTATATCTTCGCTCTGATAGTCCACGGAATTGTTCCATCTCTGTTAGCATATGCACTGCTAGGTGAATGTCTTGATACTGCCTGAACATTTCATTATGCCAATTCACTTGGTTGTAGCTAGTAGAGGAATCCAGGACGCGCGTTTCCTCTTGTCTGGGACTCATCAGCTGGATTCACCTTCAGTGATGTTGTTCCCACTGAGACTCGAAACTCGTACATATTGTTTCAAATGCCAAAGGGTTATCCACTAGGGCACTGAGGCACGATAGCCACCTCCTATAGAACGGGTACTAGTTATTACTGTTTGTTGATATACTTATAATTCTGTGTTGTTATACTGGATCGTATTGTTCGACCTCTGGATTATTTGTGGTTACATTCTTTATTTTAAGAATTTGACCTTGAATGTTTGCAATAATACAGCGGAAAAAATATATTCAAGAAAGTGAATAAGCTGCCATTTGATGCTCTCTGACTGAAGGTAATGATATCTTTGAGTAACTAGTGACAAAAGAGGGCGCAGTGGTAGTGGAGTTGCTACTATCAGTACCAATAGTAGTAGTAGTAGTAGTGTGAGTAGTAGTAGTAGTAGTAGTAGTAGTAGTAGTAGTAGTAGTAGTAGTAGTAGTAGTAGTAGTAGTAGTAGTAGTAGTAGTAGTAGTAGTAAAAACTGAACCCTGCATCTTGATAAAAATATCGTCGAAGAATGATTTTTCTGAACTAATCTTCAATAAAATCACAACAACAGATGTTTGTCATCTTAAGATTTTGATTGTCTAAGATTTTTTAAATCTGATTCATCAGATAGATTAATAAAGCTGTAGTAGATTCATGTAACTAAGGCTAAACTTTCAGACAATAACAATTATTGAATGACTGCTATTTGTATAAGTTTTTTGATGTAAGGGATGTGGGATATTTTAGTCGATCGATCTTTAAAATCTGGTTTCATAAGAAGTTACAAATTGAAAACAGTGAATCCAACATTATAAAAGGAACTGAGAATGCAATCCTCTGAATTGAGCATAAAGCATTTAGTCATTAAAGTTCTCGTAAGTGAAAAATAAAATTACTGTTATAGCAATGATTGAGTAGTTAGTTATATCATCTCAGGTATCCCTGATTGATAAACTCGGCTGTTGAAATCAAAAGAAAACCCAGCCGAACATGGAATTCAAATTAATGCATACTCAATCACCACTTTAGTGCTCAACTGAACATGTTATGCGAAACAAGTACTCAAAATGCTTTGAGATTGCGAAATTCAACCTATTGTAGCAATGGGAAATTACAGGTATCAATAAACAACAACTGATACCTCTTGCACAAGAGGTGGACGTTGTGCCTGTGTAGTCTATTGGATAACTCTTTGGCGTTTGAAGCAATGGGTACTGTGTTGGAGTCTCAGTGGGAACAGTATCACTCACTGGTGTGCAGTTACATCCGGCTGAGAAGTCCTAAATAGTATGAAACGCGTATGCTCTATTCCACTGCTAGTCACCAAGATGAATGGTTTGGTTTTAATTCAGTAACTGAAGCTTAGATGGTCATTTACATCCTTCAGTCATGATTTGAAATCCAACTCAGTTCATGCTTCGAACTCGGTGAGAATCCTATTTATAAGATTGTCACTAATGTATATCAATGTATTTCCAATTCTGTTATTGAAAATCTAAATGGGATACCAAACATGTCAAGTAAAATTGACTTAATGTTCTACACATATAATATGTAATATGACCGCTGTCTTTCACGTTCTAGACGGTCGCTTGAACTATCCTTTAGGCGAACTGTACAGTATAACAGTTATGACACAGTAATGCGTCTTTCAATATCTGTGCCAGTTCTTTGCTCACTCACCTTTGAAAATGACAAAATCTTCAATCAGAGAACTTATGCTGACTTGTTGCGTAATAGTTATTTTTTCATCTTCAATAATAGTAAATAAACAATATTTTACAAGGGATAGTTATTCGTAAAAAAAAGCATTTCCCCCAACTATTCGTGGAATAGTGATTCACTTCTGCATCAAGTCAGCTCATCTGATTTCAGCTTCACTTCAGGTACTGTACACTGTGTTGTCATCACTGTACATCCATACACGACTCTTCAGAAGGTGACAGACACTAAGGGATCGGTATTTAAGTGACAGAAAAAAATGAAACCATCCAGATAAAGAACATGGCTGGATGCAGGACTGCTTCATATGGATTCGAATCTCTGAGGAGGCAAGGTTGCAGGTATGCCTTGCTGAGAATTACTGACAAGCACTAAATGGAGGTATACAGCTTCATACCCATTAACTTCGAGTACCTGACATTGATATATTTTAGTGTTTTACTGACATGCCTGAAGTATTTTTGAAACTATACTGATTACTCACTAAGTATACAAGCGTAATATGGACTTGAAGAAGAGAAGATTACTTCAAATATATAACTGCAATAGATAAGACCAGTGAATAATGTTGTCAAAAACGTTTAACCAATTACCAGTGGTTACTTCTGGTAAATACACATTCTAGTAGTGTTCTTCACAAGTTACTCATGTGAAAGTTTATCAGTGAATTCTGTACCCTATATTTTTCAACGAATTCTATGTTTCTGTAGTTGAACATAATGATTACAGGCATTTAAATTGAAGCCAAAGTGTGATGAAACCATTCAGTGTTATATGCTTCGGGAAATTATCGATACTTTTAGAGGGTAATGCTTTCTAACTTTGAAATTGCCACCTAAGTAAGATTTTAAACTTTTAAAACAAAAAAACAATTACAATTTATGGAGGGAGAGAGTAAATTTTCAGTTTTCCCTATAACTCCAGTTCAACTGACTAGGACCAAACGAGGTGTTGAATGTGCGTCGTCAATATGTGATAGTTCTGCCTAGACAATTAATGCAGACATATCATTCGGAAAAGACCTTAGCTAAATATCGTAATCTAACCATCTAGTCAATTATTTTCTTCTTGGAGTCTCATCTCCATGGACTACATTTCTCAACTCAACTTTGAATTTCACTGTCTATTGTCAGATTTTGTCTGACCATTTTCACACTATATTAGGATGCTCAGTTTGACGCAAACTGTATGGTCTTCGTTAACATTTTCTTCACAACTGAGTAGTTTCTCAACTGCCTAAGAGTGATGTCAGCAGGGTATCCATTGGAAGTCACCCGCCAGCCAAAATTACAAGGTGTGACACAAAAGTGTCATGTGCTAACGAAAGATGTTACTAGTGAGTTAGTTGAGTAATTAGAAGTCATTTAAGTTTATCTGTGGATCCCGTCAGTCAGATCAGATTGGTTTGGACACCAGATGGCCGTTTCGCTAGTTTGGAGTTGAGCTCATCAGTGGTTTATCCGAATTAGTTCAGATCATATGAGTCTAGGTGACTGGCTGGCTAGTACACCTAAAATATTCAGCTAGTCGGATTCCTGTGGTCTCAACTAATTCGGGTCTATGAGCTGAATTTGTTAGGATGTATGACTGATAAGTTCGGTTTGAAACGAGATAATAAGCCAACCGATGTTTAGATTATTCTGATCTGGCTAGAGGGATCTACAGATCAGTCTGAAGGATTTCTAACTACTCAAGTTCTTTACCAGTAGTTTTCACTAGTTCAAGGTATCTCGTGTGCTTCAACGCTTTCAGTTAACACAACGTTTGAAATAGGTCTTCAGAAAGTGTACTCAAATGCAACTCAATTTTCTCAGGTTATAGAGGGGTTTAATAACCCTTATTACTTACATGGTATTCTGTACCCAATTTTCAAGTAACAGATTCAGTAGTCATCCTGCATAAATGCAGTAATCTAAAGCAAATTAATCAGAACATTAATAAACTTCATATATTTCCACTTAATAATGTCGCATATACCAAAATAATTTATGAAATAGGGTTTCTGTTTACTGATTAAATGAAACATAGGTATTTGTAAGAGATACCTTCGATGGTATCAGCGAAATTGTCTTCCTAACTGATCCACTTTGATGCATGAACTTACCCTAAGGATAAATCAGATGAGAATGCTTGGATTTTGATTACATACCATTCACTGAGTATCCTCAAGAACACCTGATCGATTAAAGAACCATCGAAATTTAGTGTAAAAAGTTTAATTCACAGGAATATGCGTTTTTGTATGCTCAAATAATAGTTCATCAACTGAGAAGTTCTAAAAAGAAACATGTTAACAATCCATTGGAATAAGAAAAGAATAATCCTTATTACGTATAAGAATAAACATAACAAAACAAATACTCGTGTATAACAGCAAACAAAGGAAAAGAAAGATGAGTAGTGTTAATGAAACTTCTGACTCATTGCATAATGTGATAAAATGTCAGTTATATCATTTCAGTCACATACCTCTATTGAAATTGTAATGTAAATCAATTACTGGGAGTTAGAAGGAACATTACTTTATGAAAAAAATATGAAAATATATTGATTAGTCGCTGGTGAGTAATCAGTTTCATATTACTGACCGAATTCTATCTATCACTTTGTAATGTTGCCACCAAACTAAGAGGTTAACGATCGTGATCACTACACAGGACTAGACAACATGAAATCATTTATTCTCCAGTGACCAATGAATATATCTATCACAGTCTTACACAAGGTTGATCACAGCTCAAATAGTTCAGTGGTAAAATTACTGACTGTAATACTAGATAATACGGTTCGAATCTAATAGGAGTCTGCAGCTGGTTTTTTTTAGTTTCCTGCAAAAAATTAATACATTCTAGTGTTAAAAAATGGGAAATCTTATCAACTTTTCTTGGCCATAATTCAAACTCTGCTGAAATCACATACAACAGGTGGAAACAGTGTGGTTAAGATAAGAAAGAAGTAAATTTATTGAGTTTTATATGGTAATGAGCAATGAGAAAGACTTCCTAGACGATACTAATTTATAACTGAACCAGATGGAATGAGGCAATGAGGAGTTCAAATCTATGACCACATAGCTAGTTGGCAGATCTATAACTCTGAAGTGACAACATCACTGAAATGCATCTATGCTTCATTTCACCTCTGGACTTCATGAATGAATACAGATTCTTATTGAACAGAACAGTTTAATGTATTTTAAGGTAGTATTCATCATAAACTGATATCAGCTGGAGAAATGATAAAAATCCGGGAGTACCGAGCAGGTGTTTCGTCCTACTGCAGGACTCCTCAGCAGTACTCACCCATTATCCCACCTAGCCAAGGATCGAACTCAGGTCATCCAGGTTTCACGGCGAATGCACTAACCATTCAGCCATTGGGTCAGTGTCCAATGGTTTACAGTTTCCGACTTCCGTTAATGCATAATATAGCGCGACAATTCACTAAAGTATTCAGTTGGCATTCACTTAACTTCCCACTGGTTCATCCTACAGGTATCAGTTTCTCATTAGAACTCCAGGATATTATTATTATTATTATTATTAGTCCCTTGGGTTCCTAATGGAACACACGGCTTCAGTAGCATGCCTCCATTCCACTCTCTTCTCTGCAGTCTTTTGAACCTTACTCCATGACAGCCCACAACTTCTCATTTCTTCCACACACCATCTCTTCCATGTCACCCTCGCCTCGGAAGCCCAACTCATCCTCTCCCATCTGGGTTCCAATCAACGCCCTGGCCTCACGCGTGATGTCCCCAGTCGGCCTGCTCAGTGCTTGCCCA